AGAGGAGAACAGAGGCGAAGGGATTGTGGCATGGCCATCCCCCCTGGGGGGTGATTTCTCACTTTCTGTCTCTCTGTCTCTCTCTGTCTTTCTGATGAGCGCAAGCGCCCTATAGCAAAACCCTCTCAAAAAAAATAAATAAATAAAAATAAATTTAATAAAAAGAGAGATTTTTGCTGTAGGGTGCATGCACTCGCTGAAGAGACAGAGAGCAAGAAATCACTCCCCAGGGGGGATGGCCACACCTCAATCCCTTCTCCTCCATTCTCCTCGTGGGGTCTTGGGCACGCACACACGTGCGCCTGGGATGAGGTTTGAACTACCAGGTCAAGGACATGAACTGCAGTCGACTACGTGGGAGTCCCGTGATGTCACCATTATGCCATCTACTGCACCCTGGCCTCACCACGTCACAAGGCCTAGACCACAGTGCACTTAGGAGTAAGCTCTGCTGGACGCATTTTGCTTTCTCTCTGAAGAATTGGGAAGTGGCACCTCAGGGGCACTCGACAAGGATGGGCATAGCTGGGGGTGAGCCTGTCTGCCCTGCAGCAGGTGGGGAGGGCCTCCCAGGGGAGGAGTTTCTGTACCTGAGACTGAGCACGCTGGCCAGGAGGCCTCGCCATGGCCAAAGAGGGAAGAAGGATGCTCTCGAGAGACTAGACTGCTTAACAGAATCTGTTTAGTATTTGAACTTGTTAAATCTTGTAAATTTTTATGACAGAGCCTATCTTTAGAGAGGTTTGGGAGCAGATGATAACTCATGTCGTTTGCTCTCCTCTACTCCAGAGTATTTTTATAAGGGTTTAATAATCAGACTATGTGGAAGGAGGGTACCCTGAGTGAGTGCATTGGATAGGCTAGGGAGACTGGACCTACTTAGCCCTGGGGGCTGGCTGGAGAGGCTGGGGTGAAAGTAGTCATGAATTGGATGTTGTGTTAAGTCATTGGAAAAATCATGACGCAGTTTTACATAGCAAAACAAAAACACGTCACAACTTTTCCAAGGACCCAGTGTATCATTCGTTTGTCTGATTTGTTTTCTTTTACACAATGACAGGGGCTCCTTCCTGGTTTTACGAGTTTACTGACCCACTTCTAAGGCAGGTCCCCCAGGGTTAAGAGATCATAGCATAGTCACCTCCTCCATCAGGCTCTGCAAACAGGGCTTATCCATGCCTGTCATTCTTTTTTGACCAAATCCTAAATCCTGCCTTTCTCTAAAACTTTGAAACTCCGTTGCAAAAGGACAGGCCCCGTAGATTGCCACGAAGGCGCATTTTCCTAGAGGGATCACCTCCACGTGTCCTGCTGCTGTTTTCTAGTTCCTTGACTGTCTGGCTCCTGGCCTCATTTTGTTCTCAGTGTGTTCAGATGCCACGTGGCAGCTGCTGAGAATAAGAATGAACTGCTAGAATCCGCCTTCCTTAGAAAGCACACGTGGGTGATCTTTTCTTCTAGACATTTACTCCTTCAGAAAGCAAGAAATGGGTTTATTATTAGCTTCTTTCTTTCTTTCTTTCTTTCTTTCTTTCTTTCTTTCTTTCTTTCTTTCTTTCTTTCTTTCTTTCTTTCTTTCTTTCTTTTTTTTTAGAGGTGTTTGGTATCAGGCACATGCACTCGCCAGAAAGAGAAACGGAAAGTGAGGGGGGGATGGCCATGCCACAATCCCTTCTCCTCCATTCTCCTCTCAGGATCTTGGGCATGCATGCACACACGCCTGGTGTGAGTTTAAGCCACTGGGTCTGGGACTCAAACCACAGTCGACTACATGGGGGTCCAGCGACATAGCCATTACGCCAGCTGTTGGTCCCGTATTATTAGCTTTCTACATTGTATAATCATGTTAGTTTCTTTCAGTAGGTTAGCAGCCGAAGCACACTGGTCTTTTTGTCTGTTGGTGTGTGAGTTAGTTTGCCACAGGCTGTGTGTGCACTGTCTTTCAGATACCCCTACCCTCTGCCTGCAGTGTCACCTGCCAGGTGCATCAGCCTCTGAGCTATGTGAGGAGTCGGTTTTGGCTGGAGCTCCTGGTTCCTCAGAAGCATCTCTTGTCCAAACTTGTGAAGACCTAAGGGCAGGAATCAGGTGACCCAGTGCGATTTAATTTAGAGATTAAATCAAAGGGAGAAGACAATACCGTGAAACTTATGTGAGTTCTTTTCTTCCGTGGATGCCAGTCTCCAAGACCCTTTGGACTTCTTTTCATAGTACCAGCTCTTCTTTTCATCAAAGACCATAAAAAGTAAGACAAATTCCCTCATGTCCATAGGCATGTTGCTCTCTTTGTGAAGTGTCCCTTTCCGGCAGATCAGAAGGGGACCTACTAAGCCCGAGTGGATATCTTTTTCCTGGAAAACAGTAGGAGCAAATCACATGTACTCACTCTGGCTCAGGATTTTCTTTGGTCTTCTGACCATCTCATCATTTAGCAAAGGAAACCTTAGACACTCTGAATTTAAAGGTTACAAATTAATAGCTTACTAAGCCTAGCTATTTATCATCTACTTCTGCTGCCTTCACATTCCCTTATGGTTAATCCTTTATTAATATAGATAATATAATGAATACTCTTTACTGGGTATCTACTACTGTGTTAAATGCTTTGCCTCTAGTATCTCATTTGATCGTAGTAACTATCCTACATGGTAAATGTAAATTAATTATTGAACAAATATTTCCCAAGTAGCTACTATATGCTAGAGCATTTCTTTTTAAACTTTAGAAACCAAAGTCGAAAGAGGTCAAGTAATTTTCCTAGGGTCATGCAATAAATGAGAGGGTAGGGGTTTAAATCTGAGTCTGTGCTTTTCCCACTATGCCTTAAATGAAGAAGTCTTAACTTTGCCGTTCTTTCCAAGAAAGAATGGAATAAAGTAAACATATATCCAAGAAAATCATAAATTGGTCTTCCTCTATAAACGTTGGCCCTGTAACTTGGAGCCAACCTCTTAAGTAGCCCCCACTGCTCTCCACTGAACAAATGCTTCTCTCTCTCTCCTCTGAAGAACTGCACGGAAAGCCTGGGTTGTGGGAGCTGTTGACTGCTGGCCACAGCCCTTACACATTCCTCATGAAAAGCAAGACAGACGCTGAGCGAGGAACACCGCAGCCCTCCCACCTGGGGCTCGGGTCGAGGCAATGTCACGAACTCCTGAGGGACGTGCCTACCGGGTTCACTGCTGAGTAGTAGGCCCACGCCCGGCAGGCGGAGCCCTCGCTCTCTGGCCCTGCTCGCTCAGTGGCGTGCCAGACATACGTGTAGCTGCTGTTGGGCTGGACAGCGTTATCCTCCTTGAACCATTCTGGAGAGTCATCCTCGTACGTCTTCCCCTCAGATGACTTCTCATAGGAAAGGCCGTGGGCATGAAGAGAAAACGGTCTGGATGCTAAATTTTTAAAACGAACCTAGAAAAAGAATGGCCCACAAATGCACTTAAGAAACATCTGGACCAAGAAACATCGGCATTACAGGCAAAAGTGGATGGTGTGGAATCAGAGGGAAGAGATCGGATGCTACGACTACAGTAAGTCCTGCCCGTGATCTCACGGAAGCGCCGCGGTCAGCAGGTGGGGCAGCAGGTGGGACAGGCTCCAGGGCTTTACTCCAGATACACCGAGACATGTTTGTTCCTGGGCTCCGGCTAACGTGCTGACATCATCTGCAGAGGAAATGATAGTAGCGGGGTGGGGATAGTAGCGGGGTGGAGATCTGAACAGAAAGGAGACTGGGTCCTTGCTCTAGTGGGCTTTGCTGCTACTGGTGAGGACAAATGCTCTCATGGGAATCCAAGCTCCAGCTCCAGAGAGGACAGGCGCTATCAACAGATTAGCCGGTGGCTTCGGATCTAGGGCATGTTCAGAGGATAGTTGTGCATATTGGAGAGACTGGGAAAATTTAGGGAAGGGTCTCCGGGAAGGTGGAATTGGTCCTTACAGGGTGAACAGTAGCTCGGCAGAGAGAGGAAGGAGGAAGGCATTTCCGAAACGCAGAGGAGCAGAAACGTGCCTGTGAGGAGAGGAGTCTGGGAAGCATTTGGGGAGCAGCAAGGATGTGCCTGTGACTAGGCTATGGTAACCCCAGGAGGCAGAGCTTGTGAAAAGTGAAGATGGAAAAGGAGGCTGAGGCCTGGTAGGAGAGGCCCTTACCTGCCATGTGGCCCAATCGGACCATCGAGGAAACCCCCCAGCCAGCCCTTCTCCTCTATGGCTTCTAGTGATTAAAAAACAAAACAAAACAAACCCTTGTAATAGAATACTATTCCCTCTCATTGCTTTAAAAATGGTCTACACTTGATTTTTTTTTTTTTTTGAGAAGTTTTTGCTATAAGGCAAGTGTGCTCCCCAGAAAGACCAAGAGAGACAGAGAGACAGAAAGTGAGAAATCACCCCCCAGGGGGGATGGCCACTCCTCAGTCCTTTCTGCTCCATTCTCCTCTAGGGATCTTGGGCATACACGCACACACGTCCGGCATGAGTTTAAGCCATGGGGTCCGGGACTTGAACCGTGGTTGGCTACAGGGAGTCCAGCGACATAACCATTATGCCAACTGCTGGTACCTGAATAGTATGCATTTTTAAATAAAGCAAATAGTTACTGAAATTTGGGTGAATGCTTAAATAGATGTACGAGAGTATGTTTCCAGAACGGGAATCGTTCACTTTAGATTGAGGAACCTTTCTTATTCTTTTTGTAAGTGAGAAATTAGAAAGGATGGGAGAAATAAACTTTGTGACAGATGCCAACTACAGGCCTGGGACTGGAGCAGGATTTTGAAGGAATGACCATGCTTGGGCAGATACTTAAGATCATTCACTTCTGGAGGGCATGGAGACAACTGTGCTCCCTTAGTATTTTCTTTAACTTCTTTTCCTTTCTGTTTTTTGTTGGCCAGAGGGTACATGTGCTCACTGGAGAGACAGAGGGAAAGTGAGAAAGCACCCCTCAGGGGAGATGGTCAAACCACAGTCCCCTCTCCTCCATCTCTCCCTCCTTTGGGCACACAAGCACATGCACCTGATGTGTTTTTCAAGCCTCCAGGTCTGGGACTTGAATTGCACCATCGGCCATGTGTGATCCAGTCACCTTAACTACCATGCCACCAGTGGCCCCTCTAAACTGCCAGAAAGTGTTTCTAAATTATGAGTACTGCCAACAGTGCCACTATTGTGAAAGCAAGCTGAATTGCTCCGGACACAGTAGTTTTTCACATTATCTTTAGATAGAAGTGACAATGTTATTTCCCCCAGAGATACAGTTTTCAGCATTCGAAGAAAATTGCAAGTCTGTTTTTTTTTTTTATTTTGTTGTCAAATGTCTTAGCAGGCAGTATTTGAAAATAAATGTGATTATCTGTTAATTTTGGAAAATAAGTAAATCACCTATTGCTCTCTTTGCCACCTTCACCTTTACAACCCTCCAATGCTTATAGAAATTCCTCTCAGGATCTTAGCAGGGCTCAAGAGATGACTTACCTGGATAACATCATCCACCTCAGCTCTAATAACAGGACCAAGGATGCCAAGGTGCTCCTCATTCTCCCCCTGAGGGTCACGTTTGGTAAAAGTGCTGTCAAGGTACTGCCGAAAAACCACTTTCTTATATATGGTGTCCTCTGGAGTATCGTCACTGTCTTCATGATCCATTTCACTGAAATGACAGCAACAGTATTTATTTAAAAGAAGGGATTAAAGACTGTTCAAGTAAATTAGAGGTTTGTTTCTGAATACAGTTTAAGCATAGAGAAGGTCTCTAGTGAATACTTGATGGACAAATGAATGAATGTATAAATGAATAAAAATGTAAGCCAGTAAAGCTACTTCAACTCCCAGCTGAAATATAATTTCCTAGGTAAGCTTCTCTGACCTTTAGACAGTTGAGTTCTCTCCATAGCATTGCTTGCGTTTCTGCGGTACTGTTACAGTATCGATAATACTTTCCTGTAGTGTCCCTGTAGTGCTTCCACCATACCTATGGTAAATTATATAGAACTTGTTTGTGAGATTACCAGTGTCTGACTCTGCCACTATGGTAGAAGCCACATGAAGTCAGGAATTGTTCCTAGTTTACTCATAATGTTTTCCCAGTGCCTAGAATGTTATTTGGCACACAGTAGGCACATTTTTGTCAAACACAAAAATGAATGAACAAATATAACCATATATTATCATAGCAGATGTTAACATCAAAGGAAGACAAAGCTATGGCAGGCTACGGACAGTGCTGGAGCTTGGGCTGTCACATGACAGTGGACAGCTGAATTAGAAGGTCACCTCTTTGAAGGTCACTGGATAAATGCATCTTTCGTACTCTGAAAGTAGCCCCTCTCCTCACATTTGCTTTTGCTTAAAGATACTTCTCTCAACTTCTTAACATTGGTTTGGTCAGAAATGTTTAAAATACCATCCCAAAACATAGGTAACAAAAGAAAAATAGACAAATGGGATTGCATCAAACTAAATATCTTCTTCGTGGCAAAGGATACAATCAGCAGAACAAAGAGATAACCCAGAATGAGAAAAAATATTGAAAACCATTTATCGTATAGGAATTGACATCCCAAATACAGGAAACTCAAACAATTCAATGGAAAGAAAGCAAATAACTCAATGTGAAAATGGACAGATGAGCTAGACATTTCTCAAAAGAAGACATACAAGTAACCAATGGGTAAATGAAAACATGCTGAACAGCACTAATAATCAGAGAAATACACAGTGACTAAGGAAATCATTGTTAGACCCATGATGAGCTATCGCCTCTTACCTTTTAGAAGGACTATTATCAAGGCAAGACATAAGTATTAGCAAGGACTGGGGGAAAGGGACCCCTTGGACACTCTTGGTGGGGATGTTCATTACTATAGCCACTATGGAAAACAGTATGGCGTTTCCACAAAAAAAAAAGATAAAAATTGAACTACCACAGGATCTAGCAATCCCAATTCTTGCAAGGGGGCTTTAAAAAGTTCATGGAAAAAGTGGAACTGATGTAGGAGCATTTTGTGCTGCAAAAAAAATTGAAATCCATGCATAATTTTTTAAAAAAGTATTACATTTTCATGACACCTCATGTATTAAGGAAATAAAATCAGTATGTGAACAGATTTCTGCATATCTCTGTTTATTTCAGCACTATTCACGATAGCCAAGATAAGAAATAAGTGTGTTTACCAGTGGGTGAATGGATAATGAAAATATACAGTGGAATATTATTCAAAGAAGGGAATCCTGTCATTTGTGACAAGGTGGATGAACTTGGAGGACATTATGTTAAGTTAAATAAACAAGGCTCAGAAAGATGGGAGCATATGATCTCACGTATATGTGAACTCATAGAAGCAGAGAGTAGAACAGTGGTTACCAGGGAATACGGGGAAGGAAGACTGGGAAGATGATGACCAAAAGATGCAAAATTTCCATTGGGAAGAATAAGTTCATGAGATCTACTGTACCACATGGTGACTATGGTTAATATCAATGTGTTCTTGAAAATTGCTAAAAGAGTAGATTTTAAGTGTTCTCAACAACAATGAAAGTGTATGTGAGATAATGCCTAAGTTAATTCTCTTGATTTAGCCATTTCACAATTTATACATATATTAAATTGTCACAAACATCCTGAATGTATATAAACAAACAACAAAACTAAAACAAAACCACTGTGGTACCTCCTTACCATGGACTACTGCTCAGCGATAAAATCATAGGCAGCCTAACAACCTGGATGAACCTCCAGAGAATTATGCTGAGTGAAAAAATTCCAGTCCCCAAAGGTTATGTGTTATAGGATTCCACTTATAGAAGATTCTTGATATGTCAAGATTCTAGAAATAAAGGTCAAATAATTGGTTGCCATGGGATAAGGCAGGATGTGGTAGGAGAAAAGCAGATGTGACTGTAAGAAGGCAACAGGAAGGACTTTTGTTTTGGCAGAAGGGCTCAGTGTCTCAATACAATGCCAATACACTGGTTGTGATGTGCTAGTGTAACAAGACGGTACCACTGGAGGAAGCTGGGTTAAGGGTACAAGGAATTGTTACATGATTTCTCTCGACCATACGTGAATCTCCAGCTATCTCATTTCCTTCTCTCTTTTCTTTATCTATCTTCATCCCAGAATGGAGATCCCAGACCAAAATGGTCTTCTCTCTCTAAGCAAAACTGAATTGAAAATGATCTAGGAAAAAAAAAAAAAGTATATGGATTCCTTAGAAACTCTCAACTGTAAACAAGTAAATGCAAAAAGAGCTTTTTTACATCAAATATTTGGACTGGAAACTGACTTCAGTTAAATCATATTATCTGACATTTCATCAAAAGTGAATGACTATGAAAGATTTATTGCTGAGGAAAGCAAACCAGACTATGAAAGAGAAGCATTGCATGTCTCCACTCATTATATACTAAATGTCTGCACTCCGTGACAGAAACTGAAAGGCTGGAAGGTACAAAGGCATGGAGATCAGCTGTAGATAGCAGAGACAGTGTGGGGCAAGGGTGGACAATAGGGGAGGGTGGGAGGAAGTGAATCTGGGAAGAAAAAGGAAGCAAAACAATGACCACAAAAATGGAAAACTATCTGGGATGATAATATACATGGTAATAATTTGACTGCACTAATATCCACTGTCTTCATGCTGGGAAAATCCTTTTTGTGCTATGAAGATGTACAATGATTGAATATTAGAAAAATACAAAATAAACGAGGGAAAATAATGAGGATGAGGGAACAGCTAGATCTAGGCAAAACACTAGTGACCTTTAAAGCAGATACGGTCGTGCTGCCGACGCTGCAGGGCAAGCGAAAGCTCTAATAAAGACATGATCTGCACTATAGAGCTGTGTGAATTGAAGGAAATGGTGAGCCCTCCAGAGGAGGCCAGGAGAGACTTGTCAGGAATCATGGGACACAAGATGCTCCACAGCTGCAGCAACACCTGGCTTATTGTATAAAAGAACAGACCTGAGAACATATCAGTGCTGTGGCCCTCTCCATCAGGGTCACCTGGCCTGCCCAATCCCCTTTCCCATATTTATGTGTCTGTATCTTTGCCTTTTCTAAATCCACCACCACTCCCACTCAGGGTTGTTGCCTGGCTTCATTGGGCCAAGGCAGATTAGCAAATAGCTATGCATAGGTTGGGCTATGCATTCAAGCAAAAAAGAATGTGTAGGAATGTGTGTGGTGAGAAGAGGTTTCTTTAGCTTCAGAACTTCATAGACTTCTCATAGGGATTGTTCTTAATTGTTCACGCATTATCTAAAGAAGAGAATAACTGTGTTGGAAATGGTGTGGAAGAAATTGCAATAGGGGAAGCAAACTATACTTAGCATAATTTGCCCAGAATCATTTCCCTGGGGTGTATATTTACTTTCTTTAGAAGTAGTGGGAAAATAAGCCTATAAAAAGAGAAAACTAGCCAAACCTGTGTACAAATTTTGAATAATCCCAGGATACTTCTTCGGCAGCAATGTAGTAGTATTTTCTGTTTCCGTTGTTGCTGCGGAGGTACCACGCTGCAATGTTATCAGGGTTTCTGGAAGAGTTGATGTCTGCCCTAATATCGGTTTGGTAGGGGTCATCATAGGCCACATAATCAATTTCAACATAGTCATCATCACCACTCTGTACCTCCTCCCTTGGAATAATCTCAATGTAATCTCCATCAACTCCGCTGAGGCCCACTACAACCAGTGGGTTAAATTCACTGGATGGAACAGTGCCATTTATTATAGATGTTGTTGGAGGAGATGGCATCTGACCAACATCTGGGTAAGGAGAAGACTGACTAAATTCTGGAAGAAGTGGTGACTGACTAGACTCAGGAGGGTAGGATGTTGTCTGGTTGAGGTTTGGGGAGGAGGGTGTTTGGTCTGGGGAAGAGGATTTCTGGTTGAAGTCTGGGGAAAAGGTTGTTGGGCTGAGTTCTGGGAAAGGGCTTGTCTGGCCGAGGTTTGGGGAAAGGGTTGTTGGGCTGAGGTCCGGGAAGTGGCTTGTCTGGCTGAGGTCCAGGGAGGAGCTTGTCTGACTGAGATCTGGGGAGAGGGTTGATGAGCTGAGATCCAGAGAGGGGCTTGTCTGGCTGAGGTCTGGGGAGAGGGTTGTCTGCCAAACGTCATGTTCCAAGGAAGGGGATGTTTGATCAATGTCAGTATAAAAGGACTTGTGACTTAGGTCATATTCAAGCATCTGGCTGGGGTCTGTAGCAGAGTGCATTTGATAAGGGTTTTGAACAGGGGATATTTGGTAATATTCTTCTGGTGGCACTGTCTGAGAAATATCTGTAGGGGAGCTTGTCTGACCCGTGTTGTTTGGTGGGTTCTGTTTATGATCAGGAAGTGAATATATCAGGTCAAGATCTGTAATGGGGAATGTCTGGTTGAGGTCAGTGGGAAGAGATGTTTCATTGGACTTGGGGAGCAGCAATGAATGATCAAGTCTTCTGTCGGAAAATGTGGAATAGGCCTCTCCTCTAAGAGGGTGAAAGCCCCTGGGAGATAGAGGAACATGGTGTCCAGGCTTCTCTTCCTTTTTCTTTTTTCGTGTCTTGATGAAAAATGGTCTTCTCTTCAATCCACTATTCACCCTCTCCTGTCTTCCTCGAGATTTACGTCTAACTCTGGAAGACTCAGGGTGGTCTCTCTGCTTTCCAGGCTTGTTTGTAGAAGGAATGCTTTCTCCCCAAGTCCTAGAAGCATTTTGAGGGCTGTTCAGCTTATTAGCACCTGTGTCTTCATCTGTATCTTGGATTACTTCATAGCTACCTTTCTCAAAAACCAAATGCCATTTCCCATTCAAAGTCTTGGATGGATCCTTTTGTTTGAAGATTAACAGATCACTAGGAAGGTCCTCCAAAGACCCTATTCCGGAATGAGAAACGTCATCCTGGCTTACATGTCTCCCAGTTATCCTGGAGAACCTGTGCTGGGCTGCCCAGCCCCTTTCTTTTCTACGTTCAGCCCTTCCATGACTTCTGACTCCTTTTGTGCCAAGCAGAGGGTGTCTTGTCTTTGCAACATCTGACTGCAGAGACTCCTCAGTGGGGTTTTCAGAAAAAGAACTGGAATGCCTGGCTGTGGAGGGGCTGAGAAGGGAGTTCTTATCTGACCCAATGAGATCTCCCCGCAGTGCGCCATCTGTGGCAGCTCCTGGGAGGGCAAGTGTTTTCTGAGATTCGGTGAGGTCCCTACTGATGGGCCTGCCCCTTTTAGCTGGGGAAGAAGAATTCAAAACAACAGCTGTGTCTGTACTTGAGGAAATAAATTCAGAGCTGTTCTCCAGGGCTATGGCAGTAAGGTTGAGTTCCTCTTCCTCCTGATTCAGTGATGAATTTCTGAACGACCTAAGTCCTAGTAACTCAGCTAGTGTATCTTGGTAATCATTTTCAGTATCGTTGTCTTCATCATAGTTTTCTGAAGAATCACGCATTTTCCGTGTGGCCATAGCCGTAGAGGACGGAGGTTTGTATATCTCGTACGAGTCGTCCTCATCATCATCCCATCTACACTTAGCATCCATGAATCTCAGTCTTAGGTTTTTGCCTCTTGGACTGGAATTCATGGTAGTTAACATCCAAGTTCCTACAGAAGAAATATGGAGAAGACATCTGAAAGTTCATAAAAAAAAAAAATACAAAATCACTAATATCCACTGTGGCAAGTAATTTCAAATGAACTTAAGTCAGAGATCTCAAGTGTAATCTCTGCTCCACAGCTGGCCTGGTGGCCTGGGAACTAGGACTTACTGACTCACAGTGACATGAGCAGTGAGACGGAATAAAGCAGTGGAGGCTTTTGTTTATTTATTTTTAACAGTTTGACATTGTCGTGACATCCAGGCACATGATCAATGCACTTATCTCACTGAACAGAGTACACACCCAGAGTATTGGTCAGTGGAGATGAGGGAGAAAAAATAGGTAATCTTTTTTTTTTTTTTTTCCCCAGAGGTTTTTGCTATAGGGCGCATGTGCTCGCCAGACAGACAGAGAGAGAGACAGAGAGACAGAAAGCGAGAAATCACCCCCCAGTGGGGATGGCCACGCCGCAATCCCTTCTCCTCCATTCTCCTCTCGGGATCTTGGGCATGCACACACACGTTCCTGGTGTGAGTTTTAAGCCACCAGGTCCGGGACGCAAACCACGGCTGACTACATGGGAGTCCAGCGACATAGCCATTACGCTAACTGCTGGTCCCAAGAAGGTTTTTTGTTATTGTTTGTGTGTTTTTGTTTTTTTTTTAACCATGCATAGTGTTAGAGTCACTATTTTAGAATATATGAAAAATGGAATGAATCAAGAATAAAATGGAGGGACCAGCAGTTAGCATAATGGCTATGTCGCTGGACTCCCACATAGTCGACCGTGGTTTGAGTCCCGGACCCGGGCTTAAAATTCACGCCGGGCGCGTGTGCGTGAGTGCCCAAGATCCCGGGAGGAAAATGGAGGAGAAGGGGTTGCAGCACGGCCTTCCATGCTGGGGGGTGATTTCTCGCTTTCTGTCTCTCTGTCTCTCTCTGTCTTTCTGGAGAGTGCACATGCCCTATAGCAAAAACCTCTCCAAAATTTAAAAAAAAAAAAGACTAAAATGGCCCCATGGCATAGTGGTTAAGCACTGTGCATTGGGTGCCAGATCCCATATGGCTGACTAAGGTTTGGATTCTGTCCCTGGGGACTTGAAAAACATGCTGGGCACTTCTACATATGAGACCAAAGTCTTGGAGGAAAATGGATTACAGGGTGGTCAGGCCCAACTGAGGAGTACTTTTGCTCTCTTATCTCTCTCTTTCTGGTGAGTGCATACAGCCTCTGTCAACGAAAAAAAAAAGAAAGAAAGAAAGAAAAGAAAAGAGAGAGAGAAAACAATAAAATGGACTTTGAGGGGTGGCTCTATACCCTCATGGTTATGGGAGCCAGATTCCACATAGCCAATTGCAGTTTGAATCCTGACCCTGGTGGTTGAAAAACACACTGGACACCTGTGTGTACATGCCCTAAATCCAAACAGGATGGAGAAATAGGGAAGGGATGTGGCATGCTTCCTTCTGCCCCCTCGCTTTCTCTTTCTGTCTCTCTGTCTCTCCCTGGTGAGCGGACCAAACCTCTGGCAATTAAAAAATGAATTTTGAATATTGTAAACATTTGGTTAGTTGCACATTATGTCTGTGAACTTGAGCTAGGAATAGAATAATGAGACAGTCTAGATACTTCTAAGAGACACTTACTAGTAGAGACATTTAGATTATTTATTTATTTATTTATTCCAGAGAGATTTTTGCTACAGGGAGCAAGTATTCACCAGAGAGACAGAAAGTGAGAAATCAACTCCCCAGGGGGGATTACCATGCTTCAGTCCCTTCTCTTCCATTCTTCTCTCGGGATTTTGGGCACACACGCACATGTGCCCAGTGTCAGTTTAAGCCACTGGGTCTGGGAGTTAAACCTCAGTTGACTACGTGGGAGTCTAGCAACGTAACCATTATACCATCTGCTGGCCCCAACATTTAGATAATTTTAAGTATTAAATAATTAAGGTGGACTCAGGGCAATTTTGAATCTCTTTGAAATGGTACATATGATTTTCTGGTTCAATGGCAATTTCCTGGGAAATCTCCAATAGTTACGACTTGTTGAATGTCTACTGAGTGCTAGACATGGGCACATATTACTCTAACCAGCCACGGAAACTACACAAGATGTAGTCAGCTGCTTTCTAGTTGAGTAAATTGGGCTCAGTGAGGTTAAGTACCCTCTTTTCCAAGGTGACACAGATAGTGAGTGGCAGGTAGGATTGGTACCCAAGGTTCAACAAATTCCGTAGCTGCCTCTGGGGCCAATCTTGGGTGCTGTATCTGCCAGCTGCTAACCTAAGATGGGAAGTCTGTCTTGAAAAACTGAAAAGGGAATTTTTATAAAAGAAATGCTCTTTTCTGACTTAAAAAAGAAATACTCTTTCACGACCAAAATGTTGTGCTTTTTCCTTAAAGTTGTGCCTTTTCTTTCAGCTGCTGTGTGGCTTTACATGGTACTTACCTCAGTGAAGAACAGATGGACCCTAAGTTAAAGGACAGGACCTACTAAAGTCATTGATTTCCCAAACAGAAACCATGAGAGACATTGAAAGGAAAGCCAGCAAGGGGTCAGATGGCAGAGCTAGTGCAGAAGTACCCAGAGAGCTGCGGCAGGCCACCTAGACCAGAGTCAGACACCCGGAGAGCTGCAGCAGGCCACCTAGACCAGGGAGTCAGGCACCCGGAGAGCTGCGGCAGGCCACCTAGACCAGAGTCAGACACCCAAATGCTGCAGCAGGCCACGTAGACCAGAGTCAGACACCTGGAGAGCTGCAGCAGGCCACCTAGACCAGAGTCAGATTCAGCCCCCTCTTCAGCACCCACGCTCTTACCGACGTTATCCATCGAGACCGTCACAGATTCTCCACGCATGGGGAAGAGGGTCAAGGTGTCCTCGTGCCTCTTTCCGTAGATAAATGAGTGCCCAGTGAAGTGAATAGTCAGAATGTCATCCTGTGTCCCCACACTGCAGAAGTGCCACTGGACAGTGTCATCGAAGCAGAACTTTAAGGGGGTGATGCTGTCGGGTATGTAGCCATTGATAGCTGAAAGAGCGAAATCCGTTAACGTGCCAGGCCCGTGCCAACGAAGGGCCGTGTCTCTAATCACACCTCAGGTAAGTGTTGTATCAAAGCAGCAATTATCCACAAAGGCTTTATCAGGGCTGACGTGACCAGCAGGTCAGACTTGGAATTCCCAATGGAGAGCTTATTCTCTTAAATTAGCCGAGGGAGAAACGTTGGGATAAAGATAAAGCCTTTTGTTCCTATATTAAATATACATGCTCTGCCCGAAAAGATATTCTGAAGACAGGGCCAGCAGGCAGCATGGTACTTAAGGTTCTGGACACCCACCTGGCCAACCACTGTTCAAGTTCCAGACCTCG